CATCTGTTTCGTGATGTCTGTCCCTCAGTTTCTAGGTGACTATATGTTTGTGATGTTTGTCCATCCGTTTCTAGGGGACTAGATGTTTTGTGATGTATGTCCCCTCGTTTCTAGGAGACTAGATGTTTTGTGACGTATGTCCCCTCGTTTCTAGGTGACTATATGTTTGTGATGTTTGTCCATCCGTTTCTTGGGGACTAGATGTTTTGTGGTGTATGTCCCCCCGTTTCTAGGTGACTAGATGTTTTGTGATGTCTGTTCGTCCATTTCTAGGGGACTAGATGTTATGTGATGTATGTCCCCCCGTTTCTTGGAGACTAGATGTTTTGTGACGTATGTCCCCTCGTTTCTAGGTGACTATATGTTTGTGATGTTTTTCCATCCGTTTCTAGGGGATTAGATGTTTTGCAGGTATGGCCATCCGTTTCTAGGTGACTAGATGTTTTGTGATGTATGTCCCCTCGTTTCTAGGGGATTAGATGTTTTGCAGGTATGGCCATCCGTTTCTTGGTGACTAGATGTTTTGTCATGTCTGGCCCTCCGTTTCTAGTGGACTAGATGTTTTGTGATTTATGTCCCCTCGTTTCTAGGAGGCTAGATGTTTTGTGATGTATGTCCCCCCGTTTCTAGGAGACTATGTGTTTTGTAATGTCTGTCCCTCCGTTTCTAGGTGACTATATGTTATTTGATGTATGTCCCCTCGTTTCTAGGGGACTAGATGTTTTGCAGGTATGGCCATCCGTTTCTAGGTGACTAGATGTTTTGTCATGTCTGTCCCTCCGTTTCTAGTGGACTAGATGTTTTGTGATGTCTGTCCCTCCGTTTCTAAGTGACTAGATGTTATGCGATGTCTGTCCCCTCGTTTCTAGGGGACTTGATGTTTTCTGATGACTGTCCCCCCGTTTCTAGGTAACTAGATGTTTTATAATGTCTGTCCCTCCGTTTCTAGGTGACTAGATGTTTTGTAATGTCTGTCCCTCCGTTTCTAGGTGACTAGATGTTTTGTGATGTCTGTACGTCCATTTCTAGGGGACTAGATGTTTTGTGATGTTTGTCCCTCCGTTTCTAGGTGACTAGATGTTTTTTGATGTCTGTCCCTCCGTTACCAGGGGACTAGATGTTATGTGAAGTCTGTCCCTGCGTTTCTAGTTGTCAAGATGTTTTGTGATGTCTGTCCCTTCGTTACCAGGGGACTAGATGTTTGGTTATGTATGTCCTATCGTTCCCAGAGGACTAGATGTTTGGTTATGTATGTCCCTTCGTTACCAGCGGACTAGATGCTTGGTTATGTATGTCCTTTCGTTACCAGGGGACTAGATGTTTGGTTATGTATTTCCCTTCGTTACCAGAGGACTAGATGTTTGGTTATGTTTGTCCCTTCGTTACCAGGGGACTAGATTTTTGGTTATGTATGTCCCTTCGTTACCAGGGGACTAGATATTTGGTTATGTATGTCCTTTCGTTACCAGGGGACTAGATGTTTGGTTATGTATGGCCCTTCGTTACCAGAGGACTAGATGTTTGGTTATGTATGTCCCTTCGTTACCAGAGGACTAGATGTTTGGTTATGTATGTCCTATCGTTACCAGAGGACTAGATGTTTGGTTATGTATGTCCCTTCGTTACCAGAGGACTAGATGTTTGGTTATGTCTGTCCTATCGTTACCAGGGGACTAGATGTTTGGTTATGTTTGTCCCTTCGTTACCAGGGGACTAGATATTTGGTTATGTATGTCCTTTCGTTACCAGGGGACTAGATGTTTGGTTATGTATGTCCCTTCGTTACCAGGGGACTAGATGTTTGATTATGTATGTCCCTCCGTTACCAGAGGACTAGATGTTTGGTTATGTATGTCCCTCTGTTACCAGGGGACTAGATGTTTGGTTATGTATGTCCCTCCGTTACCAGGGGACTAGATGTTTTATGATATGTCCTTATGGTACTGTTATGCTTCTGATACTTTAAAAAAAAGTTACAAATAACATTCATAATTTATGATTTGTTTTATTCTAGCTGACATGAAATAACGCAGGTAAATATTTACATCAGTTTTACAAACAGATCTATACACACAACATATTGTGGTAATTTAGTTGTTGGATACAAGCAAGTAAACAAGAACGATACACACGAACGACTAGAATTATCAGTGGGCAGTACAGTACGAATACTCGGTTTTTCAAGCTTCATAAAATAAATTCATTGGATGGCAAAAAGGAACCGAAAAATAAATCATTGAAGTTTAATAACGCCTGCTGAGCCCTAAATGTATGTTTTCACTTTTGATATGAGTCAGAAATGTTATCTTATTTCCAGAAGTTTCGTATATGACCCCTGCGTGACCCTTATATACTATGATAGTAGCAAATACCCCTCCACAATACAACATACCATAATAACACACTTTTGTAGTTTCGCTACAGTCAGTACATTTACACCTTTTAAGGAAGAATGGTAAGGACAGATAGACGGACATACAGACAACCTGAATATCACGGTATACCACCTCCCGACTTCCCTTCCCCGCATAACATAGAATACTTAATGTATCAGAGATATTAAATGCATCATTGAAATAATGAAACTTTATAAAATATATAGATAGGAATAAATTCATTTCGGAATAACAAATTGTTCACAAACTTCGCATCTCTGAATTATGACTGACGTAAAGTGATTGACTTCAAAAAATACGTAAATATAATATAAATGAGTTTCCGGATCAGCAAGCGTCCATATTAATGATTGTTCGGATTAGCGAGCGTCCGTATAAATGAGTGTCAAGATTAGCGAGCGTCTATATTAATATGTGCCCGGATTAGCAAGCGTCCATATTAATGAGTGTCAAGGTTAGCGCGCGTCCATATTAATGAGTGTCCGGATAAGCAAGCGTCCGTAATAATGAATCTCCGGTTAGCAAGTGTCCCTGGAAATAAATGTCCGGATTAGCAAGCGTCAGTATGTTAATGATCGTCCGGATTAGCAAGCGTCCGAAATATGAATCTCCCGATAAGCAAGCGTCCCTATGTTAAAATGTCCGAATAAATAAGCGTCAGTATGAAAACAAATGTCCAAATTAACAAGAGTTTGCATTAATGATTGTCCGAATTGGCAAGAGTCCGTATTAATGAGTGTCCAGATAAGTGAGCGTCCATATTAATGAGTGTATAATCGGCAAGCGCCGTATAAATGAGTATCCGGATAAGCAAGCGTCCATATGTATAAATGTCCGGATTAGCAAGCGTCCGTATGAAAAAAAAAGTCGAATAATTAGCAAGAGTTTGTATTAATGATTGTCCGGATTAGCAAGCGTCCGTATTAATGAGTGTCCGGATTAGCAAGCGTCTGTTTTTTTGATTGTCTTGATTAGCAAGCGTTTCCATTAATGAATGTCCGCTGGAATTGAACATGAAAATGCCAAACCGTAGTAGTTTAAAAAAAAAAAATACAAAGTATATATACTAATAGGTTTTATTGTTTTCGGATTACTGCGACTCATCATAAACCCTATACAAACACCTAGATTAATGCTTACTGTTAATGAATATGTTGCGTATTTCAGAACGCTCCTGAATTAAGAAAACATGTCGTCTAAACCGACCACACACAATATAGATCAGGTTGTCTACAGGGCATTGGTACTTTAGTTTTGCAGTATACTTACTTCAGTAATCGTACCTCTGTACTTCGACAAATCGTTGTATTTTGTTTCCCTGATATCGATATCGAACTTTCGCTTCCTTTGAATTTAAAGGGATGTCGGTCGCATTCTATAACAGTTTTTGTCACTATCCCCACTAGATAAACCTCATAATTATACTATTGTGTACTTTGTTGAAACATGATAACATACAGAACGTTCAAAAACATTGAACTGATTGAACTAACATTTCAATCGTCAAACTGTTGCTGGAATGTCTCCTCGAGAGCACACGTTAGACATACACTATCAGTTAGCTGACACACAAAGACCGTCCTCTCGAAAACTTCAGGAGAAATGCATGTCAGTCCCTACTTCAAGTTCCTTGGTCCAGATAAACAAAAAATATCATGATTATCCCGATTCAAAATAAGTAACATACAAAAGATAATATTTTTCCCCCTTCAGCTTTTACGCTAGTTGATACAAACTAATCATAATAACGTGTTGACACCAAGATTGCGAGGTGTTTTATATTCCCTTGCATAACATGTCACCAATAGACTCTTCAAACAGTCCGGGCCGGTTTGTATCATACTTTAAGATATACTGCTCTCCTTTCACGTAAGGCTTTACACGTTTGGTATCTGTTTCATCTCCAATGACAATAAAGATGAAATCGATTCCGATCTCGCGCGCCATCTTTATTTCAATTTCTGCTTCCGGTGTGAGCGCGGTGTCGAGAAACGCAAACAAAATCTGCCTTGCCTTCGGTCGTCCTCCATGTCCAACTGAGAATCCTGTCCGTCTGGCCTTTTTAACCAGCCCTACGAATCCAGAATATCTAGATGTTTGTTTCGTCACTGTTGAACCAGAGGACAGCTCCTTGTCTTGGATGTTAGAACATTGACTGACAAAAAACCCGAATTGTAAATTGGTCTTGAGTTGTACGTTCAAGGTCACAGAGTTGATACGTTCAATGATACCAAGGGAGACCTTGGAACCAAGAGATGCAACATCTAGCAGAAAAATAGCGTCAGTGTCGTTGTCCTTTGTGCAAACTGAAAATAAAATAAATTTTGATTTATTATCCCTTCTTTTGTGAGGCATTGTTCTTACATAGAGTCAAATGCATTCAAAGAATGAGTATCTACGGTCGTTCGCTTTATGTACTTTGCTTTAGCCGCGATCGTTACATTTAAACTTTGAAAGAACGATACACTTGTCCATCGTTTGCAACCCCCGGTGCATTAAACAAATCAAACATATACAGACGACCTTGACCTAGCCTTGACCTTTACTTTACCTGATTCGAGGTCCACCACGTTGCAAGCCCGAATCGCCAGCACATCTTTGATAGTCTCCAGGGCATCAAAGTTGGACACGGTGAATATGAAACTCTGAACATCATTCCCTGGATCACTTGCAATATGTTTCAGTTCTTTGACGTCGACGTCCTCTGTTACACCAATGGCGAACACGTGAACACCCATTTGATGGAGCAGGGCAGCCTCGACCTCAGTAGACTTTGGAGATCTCGAATAACCATCCGTGATGACCACCAACACATGAGCCACATATTGACGAGCGACACCTGGTGTGAACACTTGAAGCCGGATGTTACGTAATGCTGACGCAGTATCAGTTCCGCCTCTCAGGTACGATATTTTGTTGATTGCATCGAGCAGATCGTTTTTGTTGTAATGAGATTGGAAGCTGAATTCCTGTTTATATCTATGACTAAATGTCGAAATTCCAATACGTGTTTTGTTTTCCCCGATGTCGAACATGGCGACCACATCCTTGACAAATTCGATCTGTTTCTGGTTGTCTGATTTCCGGATACTACTTGATGAGTCGAGGAGAAAATAAACATCTGCCGGTTTACCGCCGCAATCTGGAAATACAAATAAAATAGACAAACTATCACGTTTACGCAAAAATACACCTAGATATCTACTCAGATTAATCGAATGCTACGAGTGGGTTGATGGGGGCACGGAGAAGTCGCAACTTCTAAATATCCAAAGAGGCAAGGGGACGTAACTCTTGTTGTCAGTTAGGATAAATACTGGGACCAAATATGGTATTCGTAGCTTATCCCTTTCTATCTCATACTTACTATCAATGACGTTGGTACTGTCCGCTTGTAACGTGCCCATACTTACTATCAATGACGTTGGTACTGTCCGTTTGTAACGTGTCCATACTTATTATCAATGACGTTGGTACTGTCCGCTTGTAACGTGCCCATACTTACTATCAATGACGTTGGTACTGTCCGTTTGTAACGTGTCCATACTTATTATCAATGACGTTGGTACTGTCCGCTTGTAACGTGTCCACACTTACTATCAATGACGTTGGTACTGTCCGCTTGTAGAGTGTCCTACTTACTATCAATGACGTTGGTACTGTCCGCTTGTGGCGTGTCCAAACTTACTATCAATGACGTTGGTACTGTCCGCTTCTAACGTGTCCATACTTACTATCAATGACGTTGATACTGTCCGCTTGTAGCGTGTCCAAACTTACTATCAATGACGTTGATACTGTCCGCTTGTAACGTGTCCATACTTATTATCAATGACGTTGGTACTGTACGCTTGTAACGTGTCCATACTTATTATCAATGACGTTGGTACTGTCCGCTTGTAACGTGTCCAAACTTACTATCAATGACGTCGGTACTGTCCGCTTGTAACGTGTCCATACTTACTATCAATGAGGTTGGTACTGTCCGCTTGTAGCGTGTCCATACTTACTATCAATGACGTGGGTACTGTCCGCTTGTAGCGTTGCTATACTTACTATCAATGACGTTGGTACGGTACTGTCCGCTTGTAGCGTGTCCAAACTTACTATCAATGACGTTGGTACTGTCCGCTTGTGGCGTGTCCAAACTTACTATCAATGACGTTGGTACTGTCCGCTTCTAACGTGTCCATACTTATTATCAATGACGTTGGTACTGTACGCTTGTAACGTGTCCATACTTATTATCAATGACGTCGGTCCTGTCCGCTTGTAACGTGTCCATACTTACTATCAATGCCGTTGGTACTGTCCGCTTGTAGCGTGTCCAAACTTACTATCAATGACGTTGATACTGTCCGCTTGTAGCGTGTCCAAACTTACTATCAATGACGTTGGTACTGTCCGCTTGTAACGTGCCCATACTTACTATCAATGACGTTGGTACTGTCCGTTTGTAACGTGTCCATACTTATTATCAATGACGTCGGTCCTGTCCGCTTGTAACGTGTCCATACTTACTATCAATGACGTCGGTACTGTCCGCTTGTAACGTGTCCATACTTACTATCAATGACGTCGGTACTGTCCGCTTGTAACGTGTCCATACTTACTATCAATGACGGTGGTACTGTCCGCTTGTAGCGTGTCCATACTTACTATCAATGACGTTGGTACTGTCCGCTTGTAGCGTTGCTATACTTACTATCAATGACGTTGGTACTGTCCGCTTGTAGCGTGTCCATACTTACTATCAATGACGTCGGTACTGTCCGCTTGTAACGTGTCCATTCTTACTATCAATGACGTTGGTACGGTACTGTCCGCTTGTAGCGTGTCTATACTTACTATCAATGACGTTGGTACTGTCCTCTTGTAACGTGTCCATACTTACTATCAATGACGTGGGTACTGTCCGCTTGTAGCGTTGCTATACTTACTATCAATGACGTTGGTACTGTCCGCTTGTAACGTGTCCCCAGGAATAGGCGAGTCTGTGGATAAATAGTGTACAGAACGTGATGAAGTTTTACTTACGAAACAATTGAAATTTGTCTACAAGTATCTTGAAATTGTTATATTTTAAGTGTTTCCATCATAACATCGTTTCGGGAATAGATTCGTTACTGTTGATGATTTAAGCCTACGTTCTCCTTCTGAGATGACTGAGATGCCAAACCCAGGCCCTCCCCCAAACAATGTCCTCACTCCTATTCCGAAAGAACACACTTTACAGTATTTCCCCCACATTTTTTATGATAAAGCACGAACGGTTACACGGGCAACGGGAAACGATTTCATACTTACTGATTATTAGACATTTTTTTATGTGTTAATAAACCCATATCTCACCTGTGATATGCTGGTCAAGGTGAAGAGTCACTGGAAATAATATGAAACAATTGTATACATGTATATTTGTGTGTAATAAAAAATGTCCGATTTGTAGCAGCAAATTATAATTCCAAACAATCGTTTTGTATTTCAAGTTCAGTATCACCAATATCTTTGTCTATCAACAAATAGTAACAAGGAAAACATATACAAGTTAACTATGAAGTATTTATTTAAATACAAAAATAATATTACAAATAAAGACCAAACTATCGACAGAATATTGGAAACCGCCATATTTCTGCCTGCTTGTTGATTTGGGTCATTTTACATTTTCGTTTGGCGCAGCGATAAAGTTCAAATGCATTCTTATTTGCTCAAATAGCTCCTTGTTGCCGCTAACACCCGACGTTTATAAGTCGAAGAAGTCATCAGACCGTGAGGACAAATCTTACATGGTATAGGACTTCTTCTCCTCTCCTCTCTATTCTGCCATTCACGGGTTCCTGGTGTTACTGTACACTTACCATTGCACGCCTGACTTGGTGACACACTTATCCTTGCACGCCTGACTTGGTGTCATACTTACCCTTCCATGCCTGACTAGGTGTCACATTTGCCATTGTATACCTGACTTGGTGCACACTTACCTTTGCACACCTGACTTGGTGTCATACTTACCTTTGCACACCTGACTTGGTGTCATATTTACCCTTGCTTGCCTGACTTTGTGACACACTTACCCTTGCACGCCTGACTTGGTGACACACTTACCCTTGCACGCCTGACTTGGTGTCATATTAACCCTTGCTTGCCTGAGTTGGTGACACACTTACCCTTGCACGCCCGACGTGGTATCATACTTACCGTTGCATGCCTGACTTGATGTCACATTTAAGCTTGCACGCCTGACTTGGTGTCACACTTACCGTTGCACGCCTGACTTGATGTCACATTTAAGCTTGCACGCCTGACTAGGTGTCATACTCACCCTTGCACGCCTGACTTGGTGTCGCACTTACCGTTGCACGCATGACTTGATGTCACATTTAAGCTTGCACGCCTGACTAGGTGTCACACTTACCCTTGCACGCCTGACTAGGTGTCACACTTACCATTGCACGCCTGATATAACAAGCTTTTCTGTATTTTCGGTAACAGCTGGAACCCGTGGACAAGGAAGACGAAGTTTGCGGCAGGTTCACTTGCAATGCTTTGTAGTTCCGCCTCTATGGTGTCCCGTCCGACACCTACTGCAAAGATGGTTACACCGAAGTCTCGGACTGTCTCGGCAGCCTTTTTTGTCGCAGATTTACTGTGGCTCATACCATCTGTGATTACAACGGCGATTTTCCTCACTTTGTCTCTGGCGCCGTTTTTGCGAAGGAACATGCGCGTTTTCACTGCCCAGAGCGCCTTTGCCGTACTACTACCTCCAGTAAGGTGGCGCACGCGTCGTATGGCGGATATGACGTCAGGCTTGTTGTGGCTGTCTTTTAAATGAAGTTCAATCTTCAATTTGTGACTAAAAGATAAAATCCCGATTCGTGTTTGATTTTCCTGGAGTCCTATGTCAAATGTGTTCGCAATGTTTTCCACAAACTGAAGTTCTCGAACGAAATCCTCCGGCCAGATACTGGAGGACGAATCCAAGATGAAGACAATATCGGACGGAGGAGGAGTACACATTGTAGCTGGAAAGATACATCAAACTATGCCAAGATGTGCAAAGAATGAAAATAGATTTTCAGCTGAATTGAATTAAAATCAAACTGAAATATTTCGATTAGGATAAAATATCGTTTTAAATATTCATAATGTGTCAGTTTCAATTATACGGCAACGTAATTTGTCTCCCCCGATAAAACACTCCACCTGATAATACCATATGCGATATATTATTATTTATGAGAAGTTCTTTTTACACAACCAATAAGATTTTTCATTGTGACGTTTTGATGACTAGTACGATATGTACACTGCTACCTTCATCGGACAAATGACCAGTGAAGCGTATGCACACAAAGGTGTCAAGTGTGTACGAGTTGTCCACAAAATCGAGTCGAATCGGCTACGCTGTAAGCGTACGTACAATAGTTGTACTGGTCATTTGTCTGATGAAGGTGACAGTGTACATATCGAACTAGTCATCGAAACGTCACACGGAAAATCTTATTGGTTGTGTTAAAGAAATTCTCATAATCTATACTTCCCAACCTGAGGGAAATGTTTAGAAATACCATATCCAATAGTAAATCATGAATTATTACGGTCGGGAAAAGTGACATTCTCGAAGTTCCAGGGGTCTTGATCTCCTACGTTCTGTACAGAGAATGTAAGTGAGCGAAAACTCCTGGAATGTAACTACAGGGGCATAAGAATCCACTTCAGGACGTGTGTTTTGACCTGTATTGACCTGTTATGAGTATTATTAGACGACTTTAGATCAAAACTACGTAAAATGACAATCTCTAACGATCTTTTTTACCGATATGATCTAGATCTAAAGCACGTTTAAAAATGTCCCCCCCCCCCCTCATCAAACCTGTACAAACATCATCCTGTTTTGGATCCTCATGTCCCTGTGTTCGATATATTTATGATTATTTTTGATAAAACTGGAGATCGTAACTGCTGTTATTTTATGCGATCTTATTACACGTGATAATGTTTTTACTTAAACACGTGCAGCGCGTGCGTATTGAATCTGTATAATAAGGAAAGTATATGCCATATGTTCGCTAACAGCAGCACACCAGACCCCTGTCGAAATGGCCGACACACGTACCTGTATCACCGGCAGACATACCAAACAGCTGAAATAGACAAAACACGTGTAATTCAAAGCAATGTATGAACGCACACACGGGCTTTTACAACTAGTAAAGATATGTAGAGCCAGACATTAGCTCTATCATATGTTAAATATAGTATTTTAACTATTGATGGCTGCAGGTGGTTGCGATATAAAAAGCTTAATATACTTTTTATTTACAATGAGTTGAGCGGTGTAGCATTTCAAAAATAACCAACGATACACATAACGAATCTTATCAGGTAAGCATGTTTAGTTAATATGAGAATATAATTATCATAATAGTTGCTTTATCGTCAGCTGTGCATTTTGATTAAAACATCTGTTTATTTGCATCTACATTTGATATGTTCCTATATACAGGTAAGGTATTGGGTGTATGCGAGGTGAGATTTGGTGTCAGTTAGAGAACAATAAGATTTAATTACAGGTAAATTATATTATTATCTATATACTACTTTATACTACCTACCGGTAGCATGATAATTAATTTGCAAGAATGGGAACGTTTTTTCTTTAAAATAAACGCCTGCTCGCGCCGGGTGTCGTCTTAAACCGGAAATAGTAACCACACAAAAGTGATCCGCGTTGTTAAATAGTCCGTCATAAACAAAACAATATAAGGTTACGAAAAACTATTGTGAGGATAACAACACTATTTTAAGCGTAATTATGCATATAGAATAGCCAATGACGATGCCATTATTTTTCTGCATAGTTTTAAGGTTCATGGTATTTCTCCGCGCAAACAGACCGAGGATTTGCGATCGATGTCCATTGAGAACCTAGAAGTCTTTTGGAACATATGGTGTTTAGTTGACTTTTTTGAATGGAGAAATATATAATTTAGTAGTATATAGATGTTTATCACACTGTATTTTCAGTGTTTGTCGTTCGAACAGTTTTCTCATCGCTCGCACGTGGATAAAATCTCGTGTCCGCATGCGGTGGCCTCTCGATTTTATCCACGTGCTCGCGATGAGAAAATTGTTCTCAAACAAACCCTGAAGACACGTTGTGATAATCTATAAGTCTGTACTAGAAAGTGTCTTACCATATGAATATGAACGTATACATAGTATTGATTTTCGGTGTAAATTTTTATTTATTTATGATATTGTTTCCACTTCATATATTAAAGACTTCATCATAATAATAGGGAATTTCAGATTAAATTCCTAACTTAACATATTCCGTCTTTGCGTATTGCAGAGTTATCTTCTCTTGTAAGCAGGTATTGATTGTTACGTCATTTGTTTGTGAGAGTAACGTCATCAATTGTTGAGAAAACGACGTAATTTTCTCATACAAACCAATGACGTAACAATCAATACCTGTTCACAAGAGAAGATAACTCTGCAATACGCAAAGACGGAATTATATCTCTTTCAATATTTTCTGGGTTTTTTTTCAAGTATTCTTGACCAAAATATTCCTTGACATTAGGTAAGTGGTTCCTCTGGTCAAGGTTGTAACATCGTTATACCGTTTTTAAATTAAATTAGTCATGTAACCTTAGTTACCAACGAAGGGTTATTGTCATGTTAACTGTACATCATCTTGTACACATTAATCACAGATTTCTGCAATATGATGGTATACACAGAATCAAAGTAGTTTTCATTTCCTATTCCGTCTATACCACATGCCTACGGTGTTATTTCCCAATGTTAATGACGGTATATGGCACGAATTTTTCTCTTCATTTTTTCTGACGGATATATTCCAGTAAAGTATAGAGTACATGTATGTCTCACTAGATTAAGTCTGCTTCGCATTCATTGAGATTGGAAGATAATATGAAGAAATGTTCCTAAAGAACAAAGGCATTGTAAGGAATGTAACTACACAGACATTGAAGAAGAATTTCGCTTTCTGTTAATTTATAGTAAATTTCAAAACCTTAGAGTGCCATTTTCCTTCAAGCTTTTCTGTTGTTAAATGTCAAAAATTGTAAACAACCATGTATGTTAGGGAAATTCATCTTTGAAGCTATCAGAATCCCTTAACTAATTATATTGTAGGTATTGTACACCATCTCTATACATTCTCTATAATTGTATTCTGTATATCATGTAGCACATATAATCGGTCAACAGCCCAAAGTTTGAATAAATCTTGACACTATTGAAATTTGTGATGTTATGAAAATCACTATCATTTTTCCTTTCTGCAGTCCATACAAAATCAGCTTGCGATTGAAATTCTGCAGGCATAACCATACAAATAAAACAACATTCAGGCAACTGCTTTTGTATCAGTGGGAATGTATAGACAATGCATTATATCATTTTAAACGATCATTGCTATTAAGATTAGTTAATAAGGCTTTACTCCTGATCAACAATAATTAAAGACTTTGATAACATGCAGGCGGCTTGAACGTAACTAGTTTGATTCTGGAAGATAATTAGAATAAATGTATTCTTTTTAATACAATATTTTTATAGCACCTTCTACCACGTGTCATTATAATTCTTTACAAAGAAAACGGAATATTTCACTGATTAAAGTAGACATAAATTCTTAAAAATAATACGTATAACTACCACCTAGATCATTTTGAAACAGACTATAACAAACTTGTTATTAGGTGTGAAAATGGACATGCGTGCTAGGTGAGACTACGTTTTTTTAGAAGTGTATGCTAAGCGAGACTAAACACTTCCAAAGCCCCATGGATATATTAATTAATCAAAAATACATTACTTTGATTAATACGATAGACTGATACGATACAGATACATGCGCTAAAATGAACCATCTTCGTTACTTGTATATCGATTAAGGACAATCTAACATCAGTTATTGATCCGAAAATGTCTTTTGTTTAATTAAAATAGTAAAACACATATTTTTTTACTCATATATTACATATCTTTGAATACATGTATAATGTTTTAAGTCAAAATACGTTTGTAAAACTTTTTGAACTTAAATATATGTTTCTTAGCTCAAATGTATACACAATTTTTTTAAATTTCAAATGTATAAGTTTTTAACTGAAATTATGAATAATATATCTTTTGGCATGCCATTCACCTCGACGAAAAGAAAGCTTTATACATATGTTTATAAGAATTGAAAATTATTGAAATCGAAATTGATATAATAACACCTTACCAGTATTAAAAGTATAAACGCAGACATCCTCACAGCTAAATCTGTCAGTCTTTGGAACAACCCAATACTTCTACAGACGCTGGCTCTGGGACAGCCGTCTAACCTCCGCGAGGTAAAATTCTCAGCCAATCAAAATGTGTTTTACTAATTGCGTCTACACTTCGTCTTAAGTGGCTGAGAGTAGGGGCGACCACACGCACACAGTGGATCCCGTAGATCGTGCTCTACCCTACACACGACCCATTGTTTGTATGTCTCGTGACAACGTGAGCACGTGGAGGGTCAAGTTGAATTAACACAGTACCATCCAGAGAAGTATTCTAAACATATCTGATTAAATATTTTAATTTCGTTTTGTTTCTGTACCATCTCAGTGTAAGTACAAGGCGTGCACGCTAGAAATCAATAAAATCAATCTTAATTATCCCTCATTGTTTGTATGACATGTGAAACATTGGCTTTAATGTATCCATGTAAAAAACATATATACACTTTGTGATTAAGGAAAAACCAGGCCAACGCATAGTTTACCATAAAAATGTTAAATAAACATAAAATTTACACTATTACACAATTCGCGTCGGTTGAAAATGAACTATACCAAAATGATATTTAATAAAGAAAAAAACAAAGCTTCAAGATACAGCATGTACAATGTCAACATATAATGTTTAAGGTTCATGTAGCATACAACCTTAACATAAATCACAGGCATAACATTTAAAGGTAATATGTAACCTTAACTCTAACTTAAATCACAGCTATGATGTGTATTGTAGCTTATAATCTTAACTCTAACTTAAATAACAGCTATAATGTGTATTGCAGCTTATAATCTTAACTCTAACTTAAATCACAGCTATAATGTGTATTGTAGCTTATAATCTTAACTCTAACTGAAATCACAGCTATGATGTGTATTGCAGCTTATAACCTTAACTCTGACAAAAATAACAGCTATAATGTGTATTGTAGCTTATAACCTTAACTCTAACAAAAATAACAGCTATAATGTGTATTGTAGCTTATAACCTTAACTCTGACAAAAATAACAGCTATAATGTGTATTGTAGCTTATAATCTTAACTCTAACTGAAATCACAGCTATGATGTGTATTGCAGCTTATAATCTTAACTCT